CCAAACAGGCCATAAAATGGGTGATGACTATCACTTGTCTCGTAAGCAACGTGGTCCTCAAGTAGAACTTTTTCTCTTTCTCCCCTAAAAACATCAACCATCAAAACGACGACGTGTCATTTTGTAAATTATACAATTGATTTTTCTATTAAGAGTTCTAGACTGTATTTTTGTAATTATACGATTGTACCCCGTATATGACTTGTATATACTATTATACTCCACTTAGAAAACATCGATTCTCAAAACGACGACGCGTTTCCTCTACCCCCCTGAGGCTCGCGCGCTCCGCCACCTCTCCTCCACCACCACTTCAGCCTTTCGGCCTCTACGCGTCGCTGCTGTCCGAAACCCTAGGCGCCTTCTATGGACGACATCGTCCTCTCCGACGGCGATGACCAACTCTTCGACCTCGACTACACTCCGTATGGCCGCAAGCGCCCGTTATCTCCCTGCTCCGATCACTTAGATTACGAGGACGACCGCGAGAAGCTTTACCTAGTTCCCTACCGGTACGTTTTCCAAATTTTTGTTCCTTCCTCCTGCTTGGGAATTTTCTCCCTTTGTGCTAGGTATTCATTGGTTTGGTTTCTTAATGCTATTTTGAAAAAAAAAAAGTTTTTTTTTTTTATTTGATTGAGTTGGATTTTGCGCTTCAGAAAACGACTACACGGAAGGAATATGAGTATGGGTTTATCAATGTGAGCTTGCAAGAAGGAAAAATGGGAATTTAAGTCTGAAGTTGTGAAATTAGTTTTCAATTTAAAGCCTTTTTTTTTTTTTTTTTTCTAAGTATAGGGTTGAGTCTATTAGGTTATATAATTGGAGATATTGGGGGTTATGTTTTTGTTGAAATGAGTAGAGACTGTAAAGTAGAGCACGTAATTTATTTATTTCAATTTTTTACTTTGGCAAGGAGATGAGAAAACTTCTTGTATTTGTTTGAATTTTTATGGTCAAGAAAGGTTGAGATGGTTTGCTTTCATGGATATGATGTTGAAATAGGTGCAAAGTGAACTGGGGGAATGTATGGAACAAGAAAATGTCTCTGTTTATGCATTGTCATGTTTGCATTGGGTTTCAGGTGGTGGAAAGAGGCACAAAGTGGCACTGCTGATCATATCGTAGGAGTTTTATACTCTGTATCATCGGATGATGAGTCTCAGTCGGAAATTGTGCTGAACCTGAGGAAGCAAGAGGATTATGAGAAGAGGAACAAGGTGGAAGAAGGGGTTTCAGGGCATCAGTATGCATTGCTTAATGAAGCTTTATTTTTTTGGTCACTTAAATGGTGAGGGAAGTTTTATTGTAGTGTTTATGTCTTTTTTTTCTTCCTTGCTGATTTTGCTAAACATGTGGGAACCTCTTAAAATTTGTAGGCTTTTATCATTGAACTGTAATGCAGTTTTTTTTGAGAAGCCAAAAATTTTGTTAACTTGGGTACAAGGGGTAACCAAACCGATATACATCCTTTAATCTATAATCCCCAAAATTCCTGTCTCTTCACCCTTTAGACATCAGAAACTGATACCCTAGCCTTTACAAACCAGTGCAAATAAAGATGAGACAAATGTTATTTTCCTATCAAAGTATACCTTGGGTCTGATTTCCATAACTCCAGTTGCAAATCAGGTTTCAAACTTGCCCTCAACCAGTGGTACAATCTGTATTTAACGAATTGCACTACTTCCTCCACCTTAATTCATTCATTGTTGAAAGTTACCTGGTTCCTCTGATGCCATATTGACCAAACTACAGCCAACCATACCACCACCTATGCTTGTTTTAATTCTTTTCTTCTGATTAAACTGTAATGCATGATTTTTAGTGTTGAAGAAAACCTTATGAGTTCAAATGTTCACTAGCTGGTTAACATTTCTCTTAAAGCATCCAATCATCCATTTCATTTTCGTTAGCTTTAGTAGTGCCTTTCCATATAGTGACACTTCATGGAGAATTATTACTTTTTCTGGATTCTTTGGAATCCAATGACATAATGTTCTGGGTGTCTTTTATGCTTAGGTATAGGTATAGTTATTCTAAAAGAGCTGTGAAGGAGAATTGGAGCCTTTCAATTGCAGCAGATAACTTTCATGACCTGTTTACCTTGCGAATCAGGCTTTCATTTTCTCCAGAAGCAGATTCATTGGTAGTAAAGATCGGCTTAAAGGTGAGCACATTTTTTGAATAGTGGCACCATAGTTCCTGGAGCATGGAATTTTGTTTTTGAACTGGTCCTACATATCCTTTCTGGCCCTTCTATTTAGTAAGTTGGAAGGCTAAGCCTACCATCTGATATAATAGGTGAGTCATGGTTAGATGCATAGATGCTTTAGTTCTTTATTAGGACTTCCAGAAACTTTTGAGGCAGAGCCATCTTGATGCTGGACCATGGATTAGAGGCAATAATGAGACTATGAGAGAGAAGTTGAAAGAAAGGGGAACAGAAAAAGGAGGAAAATAGAGGAAAGAGAGAAAATAGGCAACAGAAGGGAGAGAATTAATGGAAAATTCAAACAGTAAAAAGTAAAAATGTAACACAAGAGAACCTAAAGAGCACATTGTAGATATATAAATATATATAGAGAGAGTCAAAAACTCTGCTTCTAATCTAACAAGTTTTCTTAATAAAGACATAATTAACCATAATTTCATTCTAATTGAAATAAGAAACTGATGCCCTAAACAATACCAGATGGGCTTATTAAAACTAATGCTACAAGTCATCAAAAGTAGCAGAGAGCCAAAATCCAAAAATAACCTGGAGAAGTCCTCCAAGGATTTCCCTTCATAAGTGCATGACATGAATGTTTATTGTCTCCTATAGTGAAATTTATGGTAAAAAGAATCTTAGTGATAGGGTGTAGTGAAAACAAGAAAAAAATTGGCATTGCAAAGTATTATTAGCTCAGAATTTTTCTTCCAATTATTTTTTATTCATTAATCATTCTGTAGAAGTCATTTTAATTTGTTATTGTATTTTCTTTTTGTCCAAATTTTGTCCTGCTTGAGTCACTTGTTTCTGCAGTAAAGTCTGTTCCATTAGTTTAATTATCAGAAAATAGATGAGGTCCATTTCCTGAATATATACAGTGGTATGGTTTTTGGTTGGCAAAATTATGCCATCTGTAAATCACAAGGAACTGAATTTTCTTTTATCTGTAAGTCCTCAGTCATATACCATTTCCAATTTTACTTGCTGTATTTGATGTTAGAGCTGGTTTTCAGGACAATTTGCTTGATCCTTTTATGAGAGCTTGCTGCATTTTTAATACCAATTCTGAGCTAGTAAGTTTGCTGAGAACTAATTAATCTTTTTATGTAAATATGGTTCTGCATGTTGTACTCTACTTTACATTTTTATCCCGTTTACAGTTACATATTTGGGACTTCTCAGGGCAGACAAGCCTCTTTCTTTTGAATGAAAAAGTCAATTTCTGCAATGGTTTCCCTGGACAGCCAGGAAAAGAGGTGTGACTTTAAATTTATGTTAATGTTACTGTTATTCTTGTGAAGTGGACTATTTGCATCCCTCTATTTCTCCATCCCTATGTACTTGTACATACATACATACATACATACATACATTCATACATTCATACATTCGTACATGCATAATTCAACTCTTTTATAAGTTTTTTTGTTGTATACAGATTCTTCTAGAATTGCATGTCCATGGATTTTCAGTTTCTAAAAAGGAGAGGAATGAGGAGGGGGAGGATTTATCCAATTCCTTGCTATCTGGTATTGGCTACAGGGGAATTGGTTCACTGGGCTTGACAGGACTGCAGAATCTTGGAAATACTTGTTTCATGAACAGCGCAATGCAGTGTTTGGTGCATACCCCACAGTTTGTAGATTATTTCCTGGGAGACTACCGAAAAGATATAAATTACAAAAATCCATTGGGGATGAATGTACAGCTTCGTATCTACCTTTAAGTCTTTCAATCCCTCTACTTGTTTTCTTCCTCTCATAAATGATAATCTTTTGCTACCTGTTTAGGGTGAACTTGCTTTAGCATTTGGAGAACTGTTAAGAAAGCTCTGGACTCCAGGAACTATGTTAGTAGCTCCAAGAAAGTTCAAGTTAAAACTTGCTGGTTTTGCTCCCCAGTTCAGTGGCTACAATCAACATGATTCCCAAGTTAGTGAAATTATTCTGCTTCAAGAAGTATAATTTTAATTCGTCCATTTCCTTTGCTACTTTCTAGCATGTATTGCACTGTTAATCATGGAATGGAGCAAAAGCAATCATGGTTAATTACAGAGTCAATCTGGCACTTTTTTTAGTTCCAATCCTTTTTATCTGTAAATGCATCATATTCATAATCATATGTTGATAACATTTTTATATGTTATGGTGTTTTGTAATCAGGAATTTCTTGCATTTTTGTTGGATGGCCTCCATGAGGATCTGAATCGTGTAAAATGCAAGCCGTATATAGAAGTAAAGGATGCAGAGGGCCGTCCGGACAAAGAAGTGGCGGAAGAATATTGGCGAAATCACTTAGCTCGCAATAATTCCATAGTAGTTGATGTCTGCCAAGTGAGTATAGCAATATATGTGAAGTTGTTTTCAAGTTTGTCATAATTTTAAATGGTTTAGTTGTGCGTAGGTATTGTTCACTTTTGTACATATCATATGATGTACATCCCCCTCAGATGCCTCTATTGCACTGGATAATGTCCCAGATTTTAATGATCAAGATCAAGTCCTCTTTCTTTTGGAATAAGTGCATCAAAGGCCCTCAACCAAACATGCAGTATCATCCTTCAACATATATCTCAAGTAATCATGGCCGTTGAGTTTGAGTTAACATTTCTGCAATCAAGGACAAAAATTAGATTCCATTAAGATTTCTGCAAGGAGATGAGATGGAAACTTGTTTGTCATCATTCATTTATGTCATTTTTAATATATTTGAACTGGCTAATTCATGGCATATTGAAACCCCAAAATGCAAAATAACATTTTCCTCGGTCTATCTCCCTCTCCCCTTCCATCTTGCCCAGTGTTCTAGCACTGTCACTTACTGATACAATGTCAACTAGACAACTACAGCACCATGTCAGATTCACTGGTGCTGGTCCAACAGATCCTTATTCCCTTTCCAACCCCACCCCCCCACCAAAAAAAAAAAAAATCTCTCATGGCATGCCCCTCTTTCATTATCATCCATACCTTTCAATTGAACATGCTATCTGGTAAATGGTAGTGGTTGAAGGCATGGATATCTGCATGTTGATCTTTAAGTCAAGGAAAGGACAAAGAGATACTGTTACCTAAGCAAGCACTCCACCTTTATCATATATTCTATCTAGTTTCTTTGTCATCTCAGTGAAATTTTTGTATATGGAAGGCTAATTTGTGAATTGTGGCACCATTTACATATGATCGCCACATCACTTCCTTTAATGATATTATTGATTTCAACATTGTTAAAAAGGACTTAGTTACTTGAAATTGAACACCGTATTTCTGAAAATTACATATCTGCTAACATCCTTGGATATGAACTTAGTTGCAATTTGCTTTTCTTTCATTGTAGGGTCAGTACCGGTCAATGTTGGTGTGCCCTGTTTGCAAGAAGGTGTCTGTTACATTCGATCCTTTTATGCACTTAACTCTGCCTCTGCCTTCAACAATGATTCGTAAAATTACTTTGAAAGTTTTGGGCACTGATGGGATTATGTCACCATTTGAATCCACTGTCACTGTTTCTAAGAATGGGAGCTTGAAGGATCTTACTGATGCTTTACGTGTTAAATGTTCTTTGAAAAATAATGAAACCCTGCTGGTGGCTGAGGTATGTTTGTAAGGCTATTTTTTCAATACATTTGTAAGGTTATTTTAATTGTCCTATGTTGGAAGTCATGCCCTTTTCTTTTGTGGGAATTCTTGCACTACATTTTGATTAGTTGCAGTCTTTATAAAGGAATAGCAGTGCCAAAAGTAATAACATTGTGATTTCTAGTTACCAGCTTCCAAATGAGGCCTATGTTGATTCCTGGTTTTTCAAGCCCCATGCCTCCATGGTTATGTCGTATGTTTGGTTTTGCATCTGTCATTCAGACAATGTCATTGTCATACTTTTTGATTATTGGGTTTATTGTTTTGTTTATCTTCTTCTTCTTCTTTTTTTTTCTTTTTTTCTGAAAACTTTTAGCATTTGATCCTGTTTTATCAAAAACAATCCAGCTAATAATCATGCAGTGGTTTCATTTTACATGACTTGGGGTGTATTAGTTGTGTTTTTATGAAAAACGAGATATGTGGGTAACTAATTTAGTAATTTTATCTGACAACTGTCTTGGATATTGACATTGTGTTTATGAACATGTTCAGATATACCAGAACAGAATTTTACGTTGGCTTGATGATCCATTTGATTCATTAACCTTTATCAGAGATGAAGACACACTTGTTGCTTATCGAATATCAAAAGATAGTGATGCTTCCCCTTTGGTCATGTTCTCACATGACCTCTCACGTGACCAGCTAATGATGTAAGTTATCTTAGCTTCTCCTATGATTTTTATGATGCAAATACTTTTAAGAATTTATTCTTACTTACCAAATTCACATAAAAATGAAAAGGAATGTTTGTATACATACAAAGTTTTATTTCTCTAAATAAAATTCCTTCTTGTCATTTACATCAGCCTGTATCTTTCTTATTTATATCTTCATCATATGCTTGCCTGTATGTCCATTACTTCTGGTTTCTTCTTTAAATGTCATGGAATGTGCATGCAAAGTTTTATTTCTCAAAAATGGAGATCCTGCTTCTTGTTGTCAACATCCTACAATTTTTTATTTTATATTTGCTTGTTATGTGGTGTGCATGTTTCTTTCTGGCCATCTGATGCCTCCAATTCCATTGATAAAATATAAGAAATATGCAAAGATAACAGAAAAATATTGACAGAATGGTTAAATCTGTTCTTAACGGATTGGATGTAAATAACCTATAATAAACATAAGCACACAAAGCTGATTAATCCCATTTATATTCTATTTTAGCTTTACTTCTATATCTCTCAGCTTCTTGATCATATACAGTGTTTTGCTTATATCTTTCTTCCAAGTTGGACTTGTCTATAATAATTATCTGTGGATTTGATTTTTAAATATTTGGATCAGGCCTTCTTTCTTTGAGGGGACAGCACCAAGCTCAAAATTTTTTGGTGTTCCTCTAGTAGCAACGATATCTGATCTCTCCAGTGGAAATAATATCCGCAATCAGTTTCTGAAGCTGCTTAAGCCATTACTAAAGCCTGTTGAAGATGTGGTAATAAATGATTTTGATGGTGACAATGATGCTATGGGGATTATTGGTAATGAGAATCCCAAGATGGAGGATGCAGTTAGCCCTTCAGTTTCAGATAGTGATGCAGGTCCAGTGAGTGGAACAGAGGATGATTCTCATGTGGATGATGACTTCAAATTCTCCTTGGTAGTAGATAAAATGGAATCAAAAGAGATAAAAATGAATGAACCTGTATTAATCTCTGGGTTTACCAAATGGTTGGAAGTGCGTGTCTACTGGCCAGATAAGATGATTGGAAAGTATGATATAGAATCTCTCAGCTCTTTACCAGAAGTTTTCAGGTCCTTGCCATTCACATGGAAGCCTCAAGAGTCTATTTCCCTCTATAAATGCCTTGAAGGTTTCTTACAAGAAGAACCTCTAGGACCAGATGACATGTGGTCAGTGTGTTTATATTTCTATATCAGCTTTTAAGTTTTGGTGCCAATATCATTTTTGTCATGACTTTGGTCTTTTCATCGATTATCTAAAATTATAAATTATGATGTTATGTGTACAAACTTGAGGTTTTGTTTATTAACAGTGTGTTTTGGTTGTGTAATATTTAGGTTCTGTCCCAGCTGCAAGATGCATCAGCAAGCCAACAAAAAGTTAGATCTTTGGAGGTTACCTGAGATTTTGATTATTCATTTGAAACGCTTTTCATATAGCCGGATGCTTAAGAACAAGCTGGAAACATTTGTGGACTTCCCAATACAAGATCTTGATCTTTCTAATTACATTGCTCAACAAAACAGTCAACCATGTAATCGTTACAGGTTGTATGCAATAATTAATCACTACGGGGGCTTGGGAGGTGGTCATTACACTGCTTTTGTTAATGTAAGTATTCTCTTCTCTGATTGCATGTGGTCAATTACATCTATTCAGTCCTACCTTGCTATGATAGGAAACGCGTCTTGTATTTTGCTAGAACCCTGCAATGATCAAAACTATGACTGTGCCTTCATTTATGTGCTGTTAGTATCTTTTCATTGAAATTTATGCTACTACTTCCCTATCTTAAGTTTTATGTGATTCTGGTAGTAATAGAGTTTCATCCTGAAGAGAGTAGTTCCACCTGTATTCTTCAAGTCTACCACGGCTAGAGGATGTCTTAAGCAAAATGGAGTCCCTGCTACACAAATGTTAATTAATCCCATAAGCGTAGGAAAAATCTACATGAAATAGGAAAAGAAAGCTGAGTTTTATCATTTCTCTAGTCTGAGATGAAGTTGGAAAACTAAATGCATAAGTTCTTTTACACAAGCCTCTGTTCTGTTCATTAATTCGACAACAGCTGTATAACATAACTTATAGTTTAATATGGGATTTGTAACTCGCTTATTTTCCCAATTACAGCTTGGCCATGAGGAGTGGTACGAGTTTGATGATGGAAGTGTTCGCTCTGTCCCTGAATACAGCATCAAGACTTCTGCTGCCTATGTCCTTTTCTATACAGGAGTACCCCCAGATGTATAAATTAGACATTTTAGTAGCAGTCTCATAGCAACTTGAAACGAAGTTCAAATCCACAACTGGATTTTGACAAATGTGATGTTGTTTTGCTTACCATCTCTAATAGGAGATGGAATTTGGTTTTACAGTTGTACAGTTTCAAAAGGTTACCAGCCAAAGCAGCAGAAATTACAGTTGCCTACTGCATACCTTTTTTCTTCTTCTTTTTTATTTTTAAAGAAATTGATTTTTTTTGTATGACAAGCATTGCTTATAACCTGATACGACATGTCTGTCATTGTTTTAATTTCATATTTAGTTTTTATTAGTTCTTTTAATTCGAATGAAAAATGTAATATTATATTTATTTACTCATTTAATACTATACAGATTTATATATTATAAGATTTGCTTTAAATTTTTATTATCAAAAAAATCAAAACCGAATTAACCAATTCAGCAATACAAAAGTTTATTTGCCTTTTCTCAAAATTTTTTTTTTAAAAAGTACAATATATCTCAGCAAATTCTACACTTCAATTCAAGCATTTAAGATCACATATACCCCGTAAATAAATCCTATGGTTAAAGTATCCTCTGGAACAAAACAGAGGTGTTGTACTTTAAGAAAACTACTGATTTCAAAAACTGAAAACATGGAGGAGAATATATGGCTCATGCAGCCATGCCATTCGATTCTTGGCTGCTGGTTTTGGCTTTGCGGTTCCAAATAGGAGTGGTTTCAATAAGCTTATGGGGTACAAGTTGCCTTTCCCGCTTGGAAAGCTTGCGGAAGTTGTTGACTCGAATCCTGGCTATCTTAGCTTCCTCTTCAGGGGTTATCTCCCTCACTACGACTGTCAGTCGGCACTCTGGTCTGACTCTAATCCCGGCTACCCCCTTAGCATGGGGCCAAGTCCTCTTCTTAAAAAATCCCTTTCCGACAAATGCCTCAGCTGTACAGAAAAACCATTGCAGAATGAGCAGGAATGCCACAGTGTATAATTAGCAACTTAACATGCACTCCTTACCAACAAGGAGACGGTCTGGATTGAGTCCATGATTATGCGTTGCATTTGCTCGGGCTGAGTGAATAACCTGCATGGCATAGGCTTCAATTTATGTAATCTTAAAATTCTAAGGTTACCATAAAATGGCAAAGACCATGTTCTGCTAAATGAAACTTGAGACGTAAGGATGAATCCCATGTGTTAAAAATTAGCAGAGATTAACAGTTATTTGGCCAAATATTTATAGAAGGCAAAACAAGAAAGAAACAATGGATCCTGTTTCAAGAAGTACACTCTTCACTTTGTTTTAGTTTTTTTTTTTTTGGGGGTTGAGGGGGTTGGGGTCTGGTGGAGTTTGGTTTCCTTTTAAGAAAACTAAAGAGAAAATTAATTTAGTTAGTTTAGAGTACCAGAAGACAGAATTGTTGCAGATATTCCCCTCATACCAAACCCCATTCCTCCCCCTCCCCTCAAGTCCTCAACCCTGACTTCCAAGGAGAAAAACAAGGAAAGATTGATTGAATAACCTGATAAACAGTTTTAGCAGCTCGCTTTATGGTAACTTGCAACTGCAACAAGGCATCCTCAACACGCATTCCACGAACTAATGCAGCAACGAGGTTGACCTTCTTAGGACTCTAAAACCAGCGAGCTACAATTAATCATGTGATATAAATGATTGCAAACATACAATAGACTCATTAAAAATGCCAAAGCAAAGATAAACCCCATTTATCAAAAATCCAAACCCTGCATTAATCAAGAACCTTTTGTCAAGATTTTGAATGAGAAACTGCTACATTTAGATTTTCTTTCCTAAAATATACACATTCAGGAATATTACTCATGGATAAAGTAACTTCCACCATTTTATAAAAAGTATGTAGGTCAAATGAACCAATTTTGTAGTTCCATTCTGGTTTTATTATTATTTTCTTCTTCACCATCTTAAAACATTTTGTTTCTTCATAAAATTATGACACCAAATCAATAATGAAATAGAAAAACATAAAAATAAATAAATAAATAAATAAATTTAAGAGTAAATTATTCTAAAAGAGCACCTGTTTTATGCCCTTTAATACTGCTTGAACATTAGAGGGTTTGGAGACTGCCTTCTCTTCAGTTTTTCCACTACCTAGTGCCAAAGTGGGAGTCAATGGGGATGGGATGGGGGTTTCTTCAGATGGCCCTGCTAGCAGCATCCTTGAACTAGAGATACCCTATACACATATATCATCACTCATAAAAAAGCCATAGCAGGAAAACAAAATATTAGAAAACAAGGACACAGAAACACCTCCAGGAAGGATCATGCACATATTGATGAAATGATAATGAAGTTCATTGTTTGAAAAAACTGTTTCAAAAAAACGGTTTAGTTTATATTGGTGAACAGAGAGAGGACTCACGGAAGTACCCAGTCATATACTATGAAATAAATCAGAACAGATTGCATAGAGCACCCACACACCCCAAATATCTACTTCCATGCACATGAGCAAATGGATATCAGATCATATCAGAATGTATTACAATACCAATTGAAGAACCTAATCAATCTAACATAACTAATGCCACTCAGACCTTTGAACCCAAAGGAAACGTTTAACCAACAGACTCATCAAAATGAATGTGATGGTTTGGTACCATAAAGTAGTATTTAGTAAATGCTTTCAGTCAATCCCATCCAAACCATGTTGGATGGGCATGTCCAATATAACAAAATTTCCAGGAAAAAATGCATACAGACATTTAAATAAGTAAATACAATACTTAACAACATCATACTAATAAGCCTATTGCTTTCCATATACATAACTAAATGCAGCAAACTACACTTATTCCTTTTAGTAAATTAACAATGCATCCTTGAATTATTCATCAGCATATATTCAATACAAGTAATTTAATTTAGAATTACTAAAATAAACAGATCATTTAGTGTCTTGAGGTATGTCATGGCTGAAAATTAGCAGCTTTTCTTCCAACTTATTCAAATAGCTTTATTTTACTAACAGCTGAAAACAAAACACGTTTCAAATTCATTACCAGCACAGAAACAAGAGCAAAAGGATAATATAGCATTACCATTTGCTGCAAATATTGGCATAGGGGTCGTGAGATGTTTGTGGCAGGCAATTTCCAGATCTTATTAAAATTGTGCAATTCAGCTTCAAAAAAGCATCAACAATGTTAGTATTTAACTTAAACTGAATTCATGTTATTATAAAAACCTTGAAATGCATGTAAAAAAGATAACTCTTAGCAGAAAAACAGTAAACGCATTTCAAGATCTTCTACTAGAAATGAGAAAAGAAGTAGAACTAACACAGCCATTCCTTCCCTCAAAACAGCAATTAATCATCTCGCCTACTTTGACTTCAAAAAGATCAGACCAACAAGAACTTAACCGTATTTGCATCCACCAACTCCAAAACCCTTGATTTAGGGTCAATGTTGGAGGATGAAACCTCTGTAATAGCCAAGAAGCTAACTTTCCATGTACCAAAAAAGTTCATAAAGATCAAGTAAAGGATGGAGCTTTAAAAATAGGTTTAAATATCCATATATTCATAAACACTAACCAGGTAAAGGAGAAGACTCAAAGCGGAAAGACGAATAACTGGCAGATTGAGTGCAATTATGTTCCACTCTTCTCCCAATTTGTCGAAGTAAGCACTGCAAGTTTCTCTGCCACCCAACCATGGCTTGATACCAAACTGAATAAGATCCCCTGAGATATTCAATAACCAGGGTTAGAATAGCAGCTCAAAAGTGTTATGGAAACAAATCCTGTCAACACAGCTCGTGAATCTGGCTTGTGAATCTGCACTAATTACAGCAAATATAATCAGCATTATATGCAGGAT